AGGGTGAGCCGGAGGGGACAGCCTGCGGGGTGAGCCAGATGGGACAATGTGCAGGGAGAGCCGAAGGGGACACAGGGTGAGCCGGAGGGGACAGCGTGCAGGGAGAGCCGGAGGGGACACAGAGTGAGCCGGAGGGGACAGCCCGCGAGGTGGGCCGGAGGGGACAGCCCACAGGACGTGCCTTCTCGCGGGTTAGCTCACGCTCTAGCTCACTGCACATGGCCCCCTGCGCTTTCCCGCCTAGGGAACAGTTCAGAGAGAGCAGGAGTCTGCGGGCAGAGGCTGCAGCCCTGGTGCCCCCGAGTATGGCACAGTGCCTCTGCCCCCGCCCTGTCTCCCCAGCAGACGCTGGGGACATGAGGCTGAACGACAGTCCCTCCTGCAGGAGCCCGCTGGCGTGAGGGCACCCCCCTACCTGCAGCCAGGCGGGTGACTTCAGCAGGGACTCGGAGGAAGGCGTGGGGCTTGGTCAGGCAGGGCAGGGCCGGGCGGGCTGGGGAAGAGAGTGGGTATATATGCTTTCAGGTGTGACCTGGCCCCGGGACAGCACCCGAGCTTGAGGAGAGGCAGGCGGAGCCAGGGAGCAGCCTGGTGGCCATGGAGAGCCTGGCTCAGGGAGTCAGCTGCCGCCTCCACTGCAGTGCCCAGGGCGCTGTCTCCCCAGGGCGCTGTCTCCCCAGGGCGCTGTCTCCCCAGGGCGCTGTCTCCCAGGGCGCTGTCTCCCAGGGAGCTGTCTCCCCAGGGCGCTGTCTACCCAGGGCGCTGTCTCCCAGGGCGCTGTCTACCCAGGGCGCTGTCTCCCAGGGCGCCGTCTCCCCAGGGCGCCGTCTCCCCAGGGCGCCGTCTCCCAGGGCGCCGTCTCCCCAGGGCGCTGTCTCCCAGGGCGCTGTCTCCCAGGGCGCTGTCTCCCAGGGCGCCGTCTCCCAGGGCGCTGTCTCCCCAGGGCGCCGTCTCCCAGGGCGCTGTCTCCCCAGGGCGCTGTCTCCCAGGGCGCTGTCTCCCCAGGGCGCCGTCTCCCCAGGGCGCCGTCTCCCAGGGCGCTGTCTCCCCAGGGCGCTGTCTCCCAGGGCGCTGTCTCCCAGGGCGCTGTCTCCCAGGGCGCTGTCTCCCCAGGGCGCTGTC